AATTTTCGTTAACGGAAAGCTCCCAGCCACAGACGGGGCAACATTTGTCAATGGTTTTCTCCAGAGCTTGTATGAAGATCACCACTGAAATTTACAGATACAAATGTGAAGTAGCATACAATAAAAATAATACCATCTTGTAAAATGTGTGTGTGAGAGAGAGAGAGAGAGAGAGAGAGAGTACCGATATGGTGGAAGTAAATTGTGGTTCGCCTCCTTATAGTAGGCTTGTGTACAAAATATATGACAATTATATATAAGACTAATTGGTTACTTCATAAAGTTGTTTACAGCGATAATAAATAATAGATTACTGACCTTTGATGAGAATAATAATTGTGATCAATGGCATGCACATAATAGAAAACAAACGTAAGAGAATATATTGTGGATAAATTGATTTTAACAATTGTTTTGATTTTATTTCGTGAGAATATATCTGGTATAAATATGACAAAGTGGGATATATATATACAGTACAAATAAATGTAAAATTACAGTGAAAAATATGTAATTTCTTTAACATAACGCTGTAAAAATACCACTGCATGTTTTTATACTATAAATTTACTGTTTTAGTGCGGTAACATGAAACTAGTGTAAAATATTGGTGAATTAACAATAAAAGTGTAGTTTTACAAGTTAGAACTCTATTTTGTTACATGTAACCTGTATTGATACAACTATGTTTGTTAACATGTATGTTGTATTTTAACTGTTTTATGGGTAATTCTACTATTCAAGCATGTTTAAATACAGGATTTGTGTACAATTTACAGGAAACGTGTAATTGTACATCTCTTTAGAACTTTAACATTGATAGACCTTTTAAGGCTTCATTACTTTTCGTCTATAGTCCACTTATGAGGGGGGGGGGCTAGGTGGCTAAGTGGGTAAGACGCTGGCTCGCTAGCCTTGTGGTCGAGTGTTCGATACCTGCTTTGGCCGAGAAAGTTCATCCAGATTTTCCGGTGTGGTTCCCCCTTGCCAGTGATGCAGGCCGGACAAGGATAGCCTTGTGGTCGAGTGTTCGATACCTGCTTTGGCCGAGAAAGTTCATCCAGATTTTCCGGTGTGGTTCCCCCTTGCCAGTGATGCAGGCCGGACAGTGGTCGAGTGTTCGATACCTGCTTTGGCCGAGAAAGTTCATCCAGATTTTCCGGTGTGGTTCCCCCTTGCCAGTGATGCAGGCCGGACAAGGATAGCCTTGTGGTCGAGTGTTCGATACCTGCTTTGGCCGAGAAAGTTCATCCAGATTTTCCGGTGTGGTTCCCCCTTGCCAGTGATGCAGGCCGGACAAGGATAGCTGTCTAGTCGTTCGGACGGAACGAAACACCGAGGTTCCGTGTACACATTGGCATGCACGTAAAAGATCCCTATTAAACTGTTAAAAATATATATATATTTACAGTTATAAGGATACTTAAAATACAGTGTCCGATTTGGTATATTACATGGTTTGTTAACTTAAATGCATATGAATACAAGGCTTATGTAAGATTACATCAAACGTAATGTAGAAATACAACCATATTATATCAGTTTACATTATGTGAGCTGTATATTAACAGAAATGCCATTTGAATTATTATTTTTACAGCAAATTGTAAATTAACTGTCAAATATTGAGAAGATCGGTTATTCCCTCTTTGGCCACATGTAAGATTACATCAATCGTAAAGTAGAAATACAACCATATGTCATTTTACATTATGTGAGATGTCATTTGAAATAGTATTTTTACAACAAATTGTAAATTTACTGTCAAATAGTGTTCAAATCGGTTATTCCTCTTCGACCACATATCGAATTTTGTGCAAAATATTTACTGTTATGTCAGTCAGATTAATTTATTTTAGAGAAATAGGTTATTCGAAATCTGAATGCACCTAACAGGCGTATGGAGACAGTGATATACCATACATTGGGTTGTGTGGGATATTTTGCTTCGTGTCATGCCTCCTACTCTTTCCATTGTGAGAAGCAGAAGAGTAGGACGTTAACCCCCATTTAATTTAATTTCTTTCCATTATCGAATGAAGTTTTGCATGCTCGGCTGAAAGGTTCGCAAAAACTTTATGTGTTCCCCAGGTTCGAACCTAGGACTCCTTAGCCGAGTGGAGACAAACACATTCCCTTTAATAATGTCACCTTTTCAAAGTATATTTCAAGTAAATATACGCTTCAAACTGTAGTTTTACCGTAAAATGACTGGCAGAAAGTTGCCAGTAAAATCACTGTATTTTAACACTGACTGGTAAATGTACCCCTAAATGGTAGATTTAGATTTACAAACACCGCGTAAATTTACAGTGAGTATAAGGTAACTTTGAGGTGAATTTACAATCACAGTGTAAATTTACAGTGAATGTACATTTACCTCACTTTCTATTTACAAGTACAATGTAAATTTACATCGAAGTTATTTTACACTCTTTTTAAATTTACATGCTGTTTTTTTTAATACTACGTGCAGCATAAACGTATAATAGCTCTCTTGTGCCAAAGGGGTTTGATTCTTTCTCACTTGTATCACAGTAACATGATACTAGGGTGTTTGTTATTTATTTATTTTACGAAGTGTTTACATTATTTTATTTCGAGTCAGTTGCTTGACTGATTAATATTGAAACTCGAAAAATGCTTTGCTTAAAGGGCAAGACCAACGATTTTCAACAATGTTCCATAAATTTTAAACATATATTCAGCAATAATCCCCTAACCAGTTTTTGTAAGCCAGAAATCTATTTTTAGTAAAACCGGATGTGACGCAATTGGTTCAACACGCTCGCTAGTCTCTATAGGAAGCATATAGATTTGGCATATGTTTAGCGCTTTATTTTATTCAGATAATTAGGATATTACAAACATGAAATTATGCGTTTTCAACTTTTGATACACCTAACCCTCGCGTAAAGACACTCACGCTAAACAGTACAGTGCCGCAATTCACGCCACAAGGCTAATTGTTTTAGATCACGCGGTTTGTTTGACATCTTGCAAGTGACAGCTATTTTGTCTGCCCGGACGTATTTTTTCTTCTTTTTTTTTTTTTTTTTTTTTGCTTGCTGACAGTGTATTTCAATTTTTCCCTCTGTTTCTTCCATTCCCTCTTGAGAATGACTGGGCTCGAATCTGTGTATACGTCATTACTGCAGACCCATAAGAGATATCTTATATCCCGATACGTGGGTGTCTGGCGTTGACATAATTTGGCAATTAATATATTCATTTGAATATACACGTGTCAAAGGTCCGTTGAAATATATGCAAACACTGTCAGCACGAGCAAATCTTTTTAAGCAGACGAAAAAATTTCATGTTTGTAATATCCTAATTATTTGTCAATTTGTTTAATTGTTCGACCAAACGACGATGCTTGATTAAAATAGAGTGCTAAACATGCCAAATCTCGATGCTTCTTATAGAGACCAGCGAGCGTGTGGAACTAATTGCGTCACTGTCGGGTAATTTCTCGCTTACAAAAACTACTTTGCTTGTCTTACATAGGGGGTTATTTCTGAATTTATTTTTAAAATGTATGGAAACCTTGTTGGTCTTCCCCTTTAAGGCACAGTGTGTCGACCATTGGGTGGAAATATTTAATAATACCGACAAAAGGTATGAAAAGTAATTTTATCATCGGTAGTTGGTGTGAAACAATATCGTCAGATTCATACACCAGCAACAGGTGGTAAATCACTATTTACTGTCGGATTTTTTTTTTTCATTTTTTGGTTTTATTTTTTTTTTTTAAACATTTTTACAATTAAATTTTCATGTGGACGTATATTGTCGTCGCCCCCGTCCGTCCGTCCGTCCACAATTTTTATCCGATTTCAATGAAACTTGAAATATAGGTTTATTACCATAAGATCTCGGTTCCTGTCGATATTGGCATGTATCGGACCGTAACTTCATGGATTATGGCCCCTGATTGTACGAAAAATCACGTTTTTGGCTTGTGAACACTGTAGAGGTCACAATTTTTATCCGATTTGGTTTAAACTTGAAATGTATGCTTATAACCCCTAAGATCTCGGTTCCTTTCGATATTCGCGCATATCGGAACGTAACTTCCTGAATTATGGCCCCTGATTGTACGAAAAATCGCGTTTTTAGCTTGTGGACCCTATAGAGGTCATAATTTTTATCCGATGTAAAAAAAACCGTATTATTATATCACCGTTACACCCTAAGGACGACTGAGTTCGAATTTCGTGAAAATCGGCCCAAAACTGACAGACAAAATGGCTGCCCTTCGTTCTCAAATAGCGTAAAAAAATATGGTATATCAAGGTTGTGGACCCTATAGAGGTCACAATTTTTATCCGATTTTGTTGAAACTTGAAATGTAAGTTTATAACACAATGATCTCGGATCCTTTCGATATTCGCGCATATCGGACCGTAACTTCATGAATTAGGGTCCCTTATTGTACGAAAAATCGCGTTTTTAGCTTGTGGACCCTATACAGGTCATAATTTTTATCCGCCCCTCGTTCTCAAATTGCGTAAAAATATGGTATATCAAGGTTGTGGACCCTATAGAGATCACAATTTTTATCCGATTTTGTTGAAACTTGAAATGTAAGTTTATAACCCAAAGATCTTGGTTCCTTTCGATATTTGCACATATCGAATTGTAATTTCCTGAATTATGACCCTCTATTGTAGGAAAAATCACTTTCGTTTTAGCTTGTTTTCTATCCATCTCTCGAAAATGTGGGCGTATCCTGCCTGGCAGCCGCTGGTTCATTTTTAAGTTGGGGATAGCCATGCTAACAAAATTATACCAACGCAATCTTTATTTTAGAGGAGGGATTGAACGGGGGCACCTATCATTCTGTAAAAACAACTGGTGCATCACTTTCTATATTTCAAATTACTAAACACCCTAATAAGCTGCAGTAAACTACCTATTTGAATTTATTGGATTTTATTGAATACCTTATGCTGCAGTAAAGGTTGGTGTGAATTTGAATTTATTGAACACCCGAAGTTGCAATATGGCCTGGTGTACATAACGCTTCTCTGATGTTTTAAGTATAAAAGTATCACAAAAGAATAGAACAATTATAGAAGATACGAACTGAGACTAAGGTAAGATAAACGATACACTCACTGACTTTTATCATGCTATTATATTATTATTTTAAAAATTTATCTTTACTAAGTTACTGCGCTTTCAATGTTTGAAATAGATTATAATGAATTCTTAGCATTCTAAAATAAATTAAATAAATTATCGACCTTAAAGTGTTAAAATATTGTTTCTTGGTCCACACGTTATTTCTGGCAACGGTACAAAGGTATTCTTATTTGGAATTATAGAATATACAAAAGACACCCGATGCGACAGCGAGCATGAACAGCAGCACATCAGTTTTTAAAAACACGTACGTATTTAGGACAATATTGGTGTCATTCTGGTTAAACATGTTCCCAAAATAATTTTAACACAGAGATCATTGCTACGATATAGGCGTTATGAAGATTTCAAGAAAGGGAATTGACGAACGCAAAAGGAAAACACGGGTTATTCTTCTATATAACTGACTGAAGTGACGAGCGATAACAGATATACGGGCGAATTTCTGCTTACTAATAATTCCTTCGAAGACCAAAAGTTGTTACATGAGACAGTGGGAGAATATCTGACAATTAAAAAAAAAACCAATTGATTGTCACTAGTTAAGAGAAAACGGGAAAGATAGAAAAAGTCCGTGCATTACCATGTTTTTATTCATTCTATACCTAATTAAAACATGATAATGTTTAACCAGTTCTATCACATATGTGATAATGACTGACACCAATATTGTCCTTTACTACATACGTGTTTTTCAAGACTTGTGTGTTGCTGTTCATTCTCGCAGTCGCATCGGGTTTCTTTGGTATAATTCCAAATAAGACTGACACCAATAATGTCCTTTAAGATAGCATCTTCTTTACAGATGGCGAAAATTACGTTTGCTCTTTTAATGGTGATAATGATGCTAGGCATCATTTCTGACGAAACATTAGCTAAACCTGGTATCCACTTCACTTACGAGAAACATGTCCACCATGGTCCCAGTGCTCCATCACCGCCATCGGGTGGTGGGCGTGGAGGTGGACGTCGCGGTGGTGGACGTTGGAAGAAACGGCATATCGTAGAAAACGTAGATGATTTGGAGGAGTTCGAACGATTTGTAAATGAAGGAATGGAAGATCTTAAAGAACAAAATTAACATGTACGTGTACTTCAAAAACAGTAAGTTTTCAATTCTATACATGTAATTACATTGCTTTCTGTAAATTCAATGGATTTTGTAGCGGTTCACGGGGAAAGGTTACGCAATATTGATTGCGAAAGTTGTTCCGTTTACACATTTCCAAAACCATGAGTCTCTGATGTGTCTACAACATTCAAACGTCGAGGAATCAATATGATTAGAGAAAAATTAAAATGTCTAATCTTTGGGAAATAATCGGTTATTTTTGTGGAATTCCTATATTTAATATTGGATACGAACATTAGGTACTGCCACCCCTTATGGATGCAGTGACAATGTAGCTAGTATTGGGAATTTATCAAGCCCTGCGTGTAGCGATGTTAATGTCATGACGTTATTCACAAAGTTTCATCGTCGAAAACGCAGTCATGGACATCGTCGCTACACACCACCTAAGCTCAGCACTATATCACTGGATGCCCTTTTGGAAATTATTTAGGAACCACTAGGGCCACATCATATCCGTACTAAATTATATTCTATTCCACTTACTATTTTGAAATTACTTAAATCTGAATGTTTGGATTCAAATTGTACTGATCCTGCATCCACTGAATACAGGGTTGTATCCATTGTTCTTGACATTGCCCACCGTCGTTTGGACATTGCGACTAAGCCTGATGCGTCGCACACCACCAACAGTTCATTTCTAAAACTGAAATTTGCTAATAAAGGCATTGATGCTATCGGGTTAAGCCAAATATTACACCATAAGCAAGTCACAGCACACATCCCTCCTTACTTCAAAACTGTTACTGTTCCTAGGATTTCTTATACTAAACCCATTGCATCCAAAATATTTAATTACAGAAACGCATTATCTGACATCAATGCAAAAGACTTATATAATAACCCTCTACCATGTTCTTGCTCTACGTCGTCCTTCCTTTACCCACCAGCTGGACATGTGGTCACTGGTGATTTGAACATAGTCCAGAATTATAAGCTACGTGAAATTTTGTCCAAAGGACCCAAATACCGGGAACCGCAACCATTTTCATGGGATCAAAATTTCAAACTTATTATGGATGCCGTAGAGGACTACGCTAGATCCGAGTATCTCGGATACTCTCTCTGATTTGATTAAGTCTATCAGTCGTTTACTTAAACGAAGAATATACATGCAACGTTTGTCAGTTGACACTAGGCCTAAGTCTTTTTTCAATGATGTTAGCATTGTTGAAAATCTCAATGCCTTGCATGACAAGTATGTCATTGTTCCGGCTGACAAGGCGTCCAATAACATAGTGTTTATATGTAAACGACATTATTTTGACTGTCTGTTCAAAGAACTTAATTTCGGGAAACCAATGGACAGTGCTACATATAAACGATATACTCTTAGTAAGGATGAAATTATATCCAATCACAAATCTGTACTCACTTCATTTGGTACTCCGTGTGGAGACACCTATACAGATTTGCCCTTGTTATATTGGATATCTAAACTACATAAAAATCCCTACAAGCAACGTTTTATAGCAGGTTTATCCCGTTGTTCCACAAAACCACTTTCAAAAGTATTGACATCTGTACTAACGGCTGTTAAAGAGGGTATTCAAAAATACTGTGACAAAATATACTCTCGTAGTGGTATAAATCAAATGTGGATATTGAAAAATTCCAAAGAATTACTTGATGGTTTGCAATCTAGATCCCTTGCTTCAGTCTCATCTATTCAAACGTTTGACTTTTCTACTTTGTACACTAAAATTCCCCATAGTAAATTAAAAGCCCGGTTGAAAGACATAATTCACAATGTCTTTTCGTCTAAATTAGGTACTGCTAGATATCAATATTTAGTTGTAAATTACAATTCCACATATTTCGGTAAGAATCACAGTGATTCCAAAAACAAATTCACGGCAACCGTGGCTCATATTCATGTTATAAAAATTCGATTATTTCCATCTTTTCTTTTTAGGTACCGTTGAATGTGTAAATGAAGGTGAATAAAACAAAATAATGCAGATAGTTGTGATATTTGTTGTATATTTGAGGAGTTACGAAACAACTTTAAATGTTACTATTTATAGTTTCTCGAATATTATTGAGTGTTCAGGTGGTCGAATGGTCTAACGCGTGTCATTGAGTCAACTCCCAGCTACTGTACCTGACAAGGAGTAGGATCGCCTGTCCAACCGCATGGAGTTTCCCAAAAAACTCCCCAACACAAAAACGAATTATTGAAATACAATTGAACCTTATTTTAGAGACGAAATGAGCTAGTCTGTGTGAAGTTGACGCTACCTCCCCCCCCCCCCCCCAAAACACACACGCTCTCTTTTGATCGAATATTATTACACGTATTCGGGGTCTCTAGCCAATCAGTATATTCTCTGATGAATTGACTCCTATAGATGAACTAGTCCATAGCCTTTTTATACGCCCATATTTTCATCTGGGCGTATTTTGTCGTCGCCCCAATCCCATTTCCATGTGGACGTATATTGTCGTCGCCCTTGTCCGTCTTTCCATCCGTCGAAGAAAGACACCTCTTACTTAGGCAAAGTATATAATTTGATTACTTGATGCTCTCGGACACGAAATTTTGGTTCTAATTAAGTGAGAGTGGTGAAACCTGGTATATTGATTGTTTCATTATATCAAATACCGTGACTAATTTCGATAATGAGCATTTTCTGATCAGGGTAAGCAGAACGGTAAACATTTTGATTGGTCGGACTTTGATGCTAATTGAGTGAAAGTGGTGAAACTTCGTGTATAGTTTCATGACATCAATACCTTGACTAAAGCTCGATGATAAGCATTTTCTGCCTAGACTAAGTACGTCAATCTGATTGGTCGAGACTTTGGAACACAATAACTCTCCTTCTGAGGTAGAATATTTGATGTAGGTGTTCATTGGATGAATGCCTTGACAGCGTTCGATCATGCGCATTTTCCACTAAGACTTAGCATAGATAAGCAATTTGATTGGTTGAGACTTTGGAACACGATAACTTTGATTCTAATTGGGTGTATGAAACTCGGAGTATAGATTCATTACATCAATACCTCGACTAAAGCTTGTTGATGAGAATTATCTGCTTTGTCTAAATAGAGATAAACAATTTGAATGGTCATGATTTTGGAACATATCAACTCTGCTTTTGAGGTAGAATGTTTAAACTTTGTGTAGATGTTCATTAGGTGAATGTCTTGACTAAGTTCAGTGAAGGGAAAGCTCCCCACCACAGACGAGGCAACAGATACAAATGTGAGATAGCATACAATATAAATAATACCATCCTCTTAGATTAGTTACCTTCTAAAAGTAAGCCATGACTATTCAACAGCACCTGAGAGGAAATGTCAATTCAACCCCATCCTTGGATTCTGGACCAAAAATGGCCATGTGTGTGTGTGTGTGAGAGAGAGAGAGAGAGAGAGAGAGAGAGATGGGATGATAGAAGTAAATTGTGGTCTGTATCCTTATTGTGGGTTTGTTTACGCTAATATAACACTAATTGGGTACTTCATAAAGTTGTTTACAGCGATAATAAATAATACATTACTGACCTTTGATGAAAATAATAATTGGTATCAATGACATCCACAGTCTGTTTGTATAAAACATAATAGAAAAGACTTATAAATAAAAGATTTTGCAAACAAAAGTAAGCGAATGTATTGTAGATTCATTGATTTTAACAAATGTTTTGATTTTATTTCGTGAGAATATATCTGGTATAAATATGATAAAGTGGGATATATATATTGAATCACAGTCTCTAATTTAATCTAGACAAAACCTTTATAAAGCGCATGCCATATTGCTTTCCCAATACAGAAGAAATTGATCCCTTCTTCTCTTCGGGTGGCAGTGAGTTTAAACTCTCACATCTGACTGTTGACCAATATAAACATTACATGTTGACATTCTTTAAGAACCAATACAATGGTGGGGGGTGGGGTGGGTCCTCCACACAAAATAATTTTTTTTTCGGGGACTAATATATCTTTATTTCTTAATGCTAATCAGCAGACAACCCTACTTCTTGCCACATAACTATACACCTAGGCTTGAAACCATGGTAAGCAACTTAAAGGCAGACCATTATGAACTAATGCGCATACATACGACAACTTTTCACCCCACCTCCAGCACTAATTAGAGCTCCCTCGACCCCCGGAAAAAGATCTTCGCTATTCGATCGTCCGATGTTGTTACAGCTGTTCAGACAGCATGTGGCGACCTCCCCTTTCCTCACCTATTATCGATTTATTTACATATTTATGTTTTATGTACCAATTTGTTTTATTAATTTCAAATCGACTCCTCGTCTTTTAATATTCACAACAGTAGAAATATCTACTATGACCAATTAGTCTTAATTCCCATGAGTCATCATTCCCATTTGTCTGAATTCCCATTAGTCATAACTGTGTTCTCGTATAATTAGTAAGGGTTGAGTAAGCGCTTGACAGCGAATTGATATTAAATAGAATACATAATACATGTATATATTCTAACAATGTAATATATATATATATGAATGCAAATACTTCTCGTGAATAAACTCATTCACACACGAACACATACGGACACATTAGTCCCCTGATCCGTAACTGTTTTCCCTATACATATAGTTCGAGGAACCATAAACCTTATAGGGAGCCGCAGTGGGTCAGTGAGTAAGACGTTGGCTCTCTAACCTGGAGTTCCCGTATTCGATCAATGTCCTGGACGAAGAAGTTCCGTCGTGGTTCCCATTTGTCAGCGGTGCAGGAATGAGAGTCTGGCAACGAACAGTGTATAGTCGTTCGGATAGAACGAAAACCCAAGAATCCATGTAGGCTACACATTGATGTGCACATAAAAGATCGCTTGACAGTTGGAATTCGAAATACTGGTGAACCGTAGTGCAATTTTCCTCACAGCACACTGTAGCCATACGATGTGTGCCAGTCTTCATTAGCTCAGTCTGGGCGGAAACCCCATTTCATTTCATAAACCTTATAATACCTATTAAAGACGCATTATGTAAGAACTAAAACATGCTTTTTGCAGGCCCCTTTTCTGGCCCCTTGGGCGCATTCTGCTGTGTAGCGCAGGGCCCACTTTGTCCGACTGTAATCTGCGCGCTTATCAGGCTGGTGCGCAGATTATCAACTTCGCGTTGATTACTTCTCGGTGTTTTTAAGGATGGAAGTCGGATGTTAGACGCCCCATGTAGAATCTGTCCTTATCGACTTTGTACTGTAATGATTTTTCAAATAATTTTCGATATCTCTGCATAATTAGCGTGTGTGCTAGGAATAAGATTTCTAAGTTCGAGTCCGGAGATAATCTTCGCTATACGTCAACTGATCACGTGATCGAATATGCAAAAATATTTGCAGTCATTACAGCAAACATCAGTGATAGTTTTGTATAGTTGAAATAAAACATAAATAACTAACAGTTGACAGATTTTTTAATATTTTATTTAGTGCAATGTTCGTGTTCCTGAATTCTGGTTGTGTGACATAAATCCTTATATATGTGTATGCGTATTGCGTACGGTACCCGTGGGTACAATTTTTTCAAAGGGCTGTGGCAAACATGTTATATATATACAAAATAAAATATTTACAAGGTGATTAGCGAAAAATAGAATGGATTAGTGAAATATTTAAATATATATACAGAACAGATGAAACATTTAATAACGAGGCGGATTATCAGTGCGGTAATCAATTAACGAAAATTAGACAGAGATTTGCGCATGCGCGGGTGTAATCTGTCCTCGAGGGGCAACATAGAAATGCCCATAACCAAATATCTACGCCATCGGATGGCCGAGATATTAAATGGGTTAAAACAATCGCGTCATTCTATAATTTAACGTAAAGCTGTTTCGTTATGTCCTTGTATTGATCTTTCTAGCGGCCAAGCGAATATTTACTGCTTATCAGTTTGGAAATTAATCTGTAGAATTTTAACGCTTTCAAAAAAACAGACCATCTGTAAGGCTACAAATTAGACATCGGTCATGTTCATGTGTTCAGAACCAACCACGCCACATTCCTTATTGAATGGTAACATAGTCATCTGATGCCTCACCCCCATGCACGCATAGATTTAAAATAAAAATTGATAATAAATCTTATAATTATTAAAAAAAAAATTTTAATAAGTAAATCTGGACCCTGGAGTTATAATTGCCCCCTTATAAAATAAGACCCTGCATCTACCCCAGTTCCATTATTTGAGCTAAACTCGTGACCTAAAACACAACAAACATTTAGATGGAATGCAAATTCTGGATGTCATACATATAGCACGCCGTTTCGACAAGTATGCTCTTGTCGTTTGAAGGAAGTAATGGGGATATTTTTCGATATTCAGTTGACATCGGACACCAATTTCTGATGTTGCCGCAGTAAAGTAGATCAGAATTTAAAAAAATGTAAAATCGTGTTTCTCATTAAAGATGCATTATGTAAGATTTAGATAAAGAGTTGACAGTTCTCGCTATATTAGTTTTAAAAAGGAATATATTGAAAATGCGAAGTTATCAACGTTGGAAGTTTTCATCAGAATAGCGTATCTCGATTTTCGTTGCTACCATTGTTACGATAATAAGGGAGATAATCAATTTTTAAATTAAATTATTAAATGGTGATCCTGTGTCAATCCAAAGTTCATTGGGATTTTCTGGCGTCGTTCCCCTTTGTCAGTGACGTAGGATGGAGAACCTGGCAAGAGATAACCTATAGTCGTTCGAATGGGACGAAAAATCGAGGTCATGTGTACACATTGGTGTGTATGTAAAAGAACCCTTGGCAGTTGGAATTCAATGTAAGAATGGGTCGTAGCGCTGATTTCCCTCATAGCGTATGACCGTCTTCATTACCCCAGTCGGAGGAGAATAGTATGACGTTAAACCCCGTTTCATTATATTTCATTTCTAACATAATGCATCTTTAATTAATACAAACCATGCTTCGTCTCATCGTCCTACAAGTCTATGTAATACAACCAATAGCATAAATTAAAAACTAAAAAGGCTCCCGGAAAGAAATAACGTGATGTCTTATCCACCATGCGGCCATTATCCCGTCCTGTAAACAATGGTGGTTTTCTTTCCCTTCTTCCGTTTATATTTTGTACTGATTCTTGTCTGGGCAACTGCAAAGATTGAAACAACAAGATTATTTTAATTGGTTGTAAAACCATAAATTTAAAAAACAAATAAACACCCGGTATAACAAATTTAGTACCACATCACCAACCTTAACCCACGCTTTAATTTCGTATAATTATTATACTTTGTAGCTGGAATTATATTTTCGAAAAACTTAAAGATAACCAGCCTCTATAATACACATTCTAGTTTTACAAAAAAAATGAATTCCCCGAAAAGTTATGGAATTAAACGGAAAACGGGTTAAATACATATAAGTAATATCAAATATGCCAATAAGAAATGTCAGTATTTTAGCATGCCATATTGTTTAGTATGGAATGAAATGGAATGGGGTTAAACCTGCTACTTTTCTGCTCCGACTGGGATAATGAAGATGGGCGTACGCCATACAGTGTGCTATGACGGAGATTTTGCCCGGAACGTGGCGCTACGACCCACTCTTATATCGAATTCCAGTTGCCAAGGGTTCTTTTACGTACACGCCAGTACTGTGTACACGGGACCTCAATTTTTCGTCTCCACCGAACGACTTTATAATATGTGTTTATACAATCAACGATTTGAATATAATATACAGGGCACGTCAAGACAAACAATCATTATCCAGATAATATGTAAATAAAGGGCAATAACTACATATACAATAAATTTCCATATATTACATAGTTTATTATTACACTATTCTATATTTCCCATGGGATCATACTTTTCTAAACCAAGGAGGGGAAATTATCCCCGACAGTATATACGGGGCTTCAGTTCTTCGTCCAATCCGAACGCCTAGATGTTTATCTTGCAAAATAGTGGCTCCGGTTTAGATTGACGAATAAATATATATATAGTCAGTTTCGTATAGATCTAGACTGGTATCCACTATCTGAACAAAAGGGCGTCGATGTTTTCTTTGGTGCTCCAATAAATATACGAATAGTTTTAAAAAAGGAAACAGAAATGGTTTTATGCAACACAATCTAGGTTATTTCGAGACTAATTTACGCGTAGGGACCTTTAGTCTCAATTATATATTTTATCGTTAAACTCTTAATGGCCGCAATGTTCTAATCAACTTAAAATCGGAGCAATCCGATGGCCCATGGCTTTATCTTCAAATATTCAAGAAAGACGGCTTGTTACCCGAGAAAGCAAATCAGCATATAATATCTAATGCCATCAACAATTTAGTTTTCAACCGAAATTAAAGAAACCTGGTCATTTTAAACTGTTATTAGTACATGGTGTAGGTACATCGTCCAGTCATTTTAAACTGTCAGTAGAACATGGAGTGGGTAGATCGTCCAGTCATTTTAAACTGTCAGTAAAACATGGAGTGGGTAGATCGTCCAGTCATTTTAAACTGTCAGTAAAACATGGAGTCGGTAGATCGTCCAGTCACTTTAAACTGTCAGTAGAGCGAGGTGTGGGTGGATCGTCTAGTCACTTTAAACTGTCAGTGGATCATAGTTTGGGTAGATTTTAAGGCCGAAGTTTACTGTACTTACAATTGACTCCTTGCTGCTGGAAGTACTAGCTCGGTTTGAACATTTTCGAAACTTCCTTGATAATACAGTCACAAAAGCATACTCGATATATGCAGCAAAAACAAATATTAAACACGCGGACATCCAGACATCAACAGACTTGGTGTAAGGAACTCTGGGTAGTTGAGAACGTGCACCGGAACTCTGGGTCGTTATGGTGAGAACTGTCAGAAGACCTACTGATATCCGAGCAGGAATGGCGTCAGGGTCGATCCAAAACGATACCCAAGAAAGCACCACAATCAGAGTAGTTGGCAGATATGTCTGCGTTAAATAATACCCAATCTGTCTTTCCATTTCTAATGTAGCATACAGACATGGATATTCGCCTGAAAAGTAGAAAATACAAAATGAGTCTGATGGTATTTCAAAATTCAAAGTTAATGAATGTGATAAGCTAATACTCTATGGACTTCCATTCGAAATTGGAGTAAAACTTTGTCCTTTCGGTGTATTACTTACATAATCATAGAGAGGAGGCTATATCCAAACTACAGAGAAAGCTATATACTAGCCGCGAAAAACAACCTATCTGATCGGGAACTATTCTTATTGGTTAAAAAAACATTCTTTAAAATATTTTCTATTGTTATAATTATTGATATTCATATATGTTTTTAACTTATATAAGCCATGTGTAGATACTTTCGCCTTATTGGTTTGCCACATGATATAAACCTACTTATAACGACGTCATTGGTGTTCTAATATAACACAGTAAAATAATAAATGGTATGGGAAACTTGACTGCTACGGAACTATAATAATATTTAAAATAATCGAATTCAGTTAATAGAGTTATTGTTGTAAACGATTTGTGAAAATACAGCCATTTCCAGTAATGAGTCACGACTGGCGTTTCAGAAATATTTTACCAAATCATCTTCTTGATACCAATAGATATAGCTAAAGCATAAAGCTATTAAAGGAAAAATCTAAGGCTAAAATCTGCTTTTGATGCTAGCGACTGCATTTCTGTTTCCCGAGGACAGGGGATGCTAGGGTGACAACAATCTATATTTGAGAAGCTGTATTTATTATCTATTTATGGGTGATCTATATTAATAAAATACCTGTTTGAAGTTTACTTGTGCAGTCATGAGATGAAATGCCATTTAATTCAAAATCTGGAATATTTGCTGACGGTAAAATAGTGCTGGATTTTCGTTCTGATGACCAAACAAGTCTCACTTCTTCCGTTGTGTAGCTGTCTGTATTAAAGAAAAGCAAATGAATTACCGTTTAACCGTGTTCAACTTAAAAACAAATAGTTTGGGGGTTGAAATATTGTAAATTATTGGAGATTTTTACCGGGGTAATGACTTATATACATGTATGGCTTGAAAGTGCTGGTGCTGCATCCTTTGCACTGAGTATCGGTTTTACGTAACTTCAGAATGCGTGATATTTACAAATGTTGTCATGCAATATTGTATATACCCTCCCCTTGTTTGTAAACGGTTTTGCTTAAACGTTAAATGTTAAAGGTGCATTATGTAAGATTTAGATAAAGAGCTGACCGTTCTTGCTATAAAAGATAATGAAAAGTGAATACATAATGTATATTGAAAATGTTATTAAGATTCCTTATTCTGATTGATATTATGATTGTTGGGAGATGTAGTGTAAATTGTTTATTATCGTAGCAACGGTGCTGGACAAACGACACTAAGTCTCGATTATCCATTTTATTTTCAAATCTCGCAGGCGTTTTAATCCATTAAACCTTCGCTATCCGATGGTCGAGAGAGTAGATTATAGGCTTGTCATGTTCATAAATATCTAAATAATAGTTGGAAATAATATTTGAAGCCAAAACATAAACCTGCTATAGGCAGATTTAGTTCTTCCATATTGCAACTATCTCTAAGAAGTCATATCGTGGTGATTTAACAAATTACAACTAATTTATCTCTATAAGTCACCCACCCCCATACCAAGTACAAATGTCTATACATAATATTTTATATGGTTAATTAGACTATAGTTTCCAGAGGATACAAAAATCACTAACGATCAAAAGTAGCAAAGATCTCCATATTTATATTTTTATTTGGAATATGTGTTTAAACTATTTATGTAAAATTTGTGGACGGTAACATTGCCCTTTAAGTAATTGGCTGTTGCATTAAACATACTCAAGAGGTTATAGAACAGCAAAATAAATAGAAAACAGAGATAACGTTTATCAATTTTACAATCAATAAAATAGAATGTCAAATCTATTTGTTATCGAATATTTTTAAAATTAGAAATAAAATGGCTTTGTGTGTTCGCAGTGAAATAAACAAAGGCTACAGAATCATTTTTCATATAACAAACAAAGTTAAATAAGCTACTTACAACTTTCTATTCTCAGCGAACAAGTTTGTTTATCTAATGGAAATTTGCGAAGATCCATTAAGCAACTAACGGTTAATGATAATCTGCAATTACAAAGTTTCAATACGAAAAGTTTTAATAATAGGTTTGTATAGACTAGAAAGGAAATGAGACAATTTATACGTATCTGCATTATTTTGGTAAAAAGAATATAATTCCTGTGGTATCTGGATTAAGAATTGTACATTTTAATATATCTAACACTCTAAGTGGAAATGAAATGAAATGGGGTTTAGCGTGCTTTACCTTCAGCACCAACCTGGATAATAGAGACGTGCATAGGTCATGCAGTGTGCTTTGGGTGAAATCGTTGTCCAGTTAGCGGCGCTACAGCCTACGAATTCAAGCTGTCAAGAATTCTTTTACGTACGCGGAGCCTCGATATTCGTCCCATCCGAACGACTAGACACTTTTCCTTGCCACCACACTCCCATCCCACGCCACTGCCGCGGGAAACCTACGCTAGAAAAATTCAGTCGAACTTTCTCAGTGCAAAATGGGATCGAAACCCGGATGTCCTGGTTAGGGTACACAGGAATAATATTATATGTTAAATAAACGTTCTATCCTGATGCATTTCGTCTCAAATATGCAAAACAAATAGTCAAGTTAAGGCATTTTGACTTAAAACACGTTAACGGCACAATTTATCAATATTTATCATTGCAGAAGTATGGAGTGTTTTCCAAATAATTTAACTGAAAGGAGATTTTATCTCATGTAATGAATAGACCTAGTTGGATAATAAAACGTGCAAAACTCAATACCAAATATAAGTAAATATTTTGGGTTTGTTTCGTTTTTACTTTTCTAATTGGAGAGAAGAGGAACTGTTCCCATTTATTAGTTTTTATTTGTTAAGAATTTATTTAACTAAACAAATTTTGACATGGTGATTAAACAGCATTGTTTATTTTAAAATAGTTGAAGTCAAAGATTTATTAGTTCCTGACTATTATTATTTTATAATTGATGAAGCTGTTATAAAGGTTAAGATTAAAATAAATATTAATGATAATGATATATAAATATATATAACCATAAATAAATATTTTGTATTCTTATCAATATTACAATTCTTTAGACATTTTCATTCTGTGTTGTATCAAAGAAAGTATGTGCATTAACAGTGATTATCGAAAGATATAACCATTTCCTAGACAACCGTCATACAAAATACATACACTGTAAATAATTTTTGTGAATTTTTTACCGTAAATTGACTGGCAGAAAGTTGCCAGTAAAATGACTGTATTTTAACACTGACTTGTAAATTTACATCTAAAAAATGGATTTAGATTTACCAACAGCATGTAAATTTAGACATTTTCATTCTGTGATGTATCAGAGAAAGTATGTGCATTAACAGTGAATATCGAAAGATATAACCATTTCCTAGACAACCGTCATACAAAATACATACCCATCGTTTGAAAGGCGTACCCAAACAATAAGGAAAAATAACTTTGTTATCTCACAATGAAATCCTCTGGGGAAAATTGTTCGACAATCTATAAAATTAACCGTATCCGCTATAAATAGTATAGTGCATGCAATAATATAGCAATTTCAGGCTCAGTGAGTGAGTGACACTCTGTAATGATTTATTACATTATTAATAAACAATGTATTAAAACAGGCATTGACTCCAAACCTCGGGAAGTGAAACAAAATGTTCCCAATCGGGTCCAGCAGCTCCAAGGATAAAAAATTCGTGAAGAATGGCTTGGTTTGAATTTTATTTTTATAAGCAATATTTTATTCAGATTTGTATCTGAATAGGGATTGGGGAACAGGCCTATATTAAACCCCTCTCCCTGTCAGATATAGATACATGTATTTACATTTTAGAAATTAATAATCAATGTACACGTGCAAGTATGATTATAGTGAGAATATATTTACAATGATGAGTGTTTATAGTTGTCCCTGGAACCGTCTGGTGATTTCGAAAAACGAATGGACAGTTTTAAAAATATTGAGTGAGTCTTCCACGTCGTCAATTCCGTACAATAAAACAGTAGTGTTTCGATGAATAGTCGATAAATTATTTATTGTTTTATTTCGGGTTTATTTTGGTTTGAATTGAATTTAACTAATCAGAAAAAAGTTTTAACATGGGAACTGTAGCCAGGGTTAATGGTATAGTAATGATCGTAACTAATGCTTCAGAAATATGGCCTACCTTTGACTATATATAACACTACCGTTAGGGTGTATTTTGATGTACATATTGGGTTCTGTGACATCGTGTCGTGTTTCTGTCTTTGATCTAGGAAAAAATAAATCAGGAACCCAAAAGTAAGACAGGTGTCGATGGGAGGTTCTAATTCCCGATTCCGAGTGTTTTAATCTTGGATCATACCATTCTTGCCGAAAATAAAGACTCGTGCTGTATTCCTGAAAATGGTGGTAGAAGTCATATATTTGAATTGTCTATTTCCTTCTCTGTTATTTGTTGTTGCTTTTTTTTGGGGGGGGGGTGTTTTTGGTTTTTTGCATATCCAGTTTTATTTTTTACACGCGACACACAGCTTTATAGGGTGCCATATTATACGACACCAAAACATTTCATACAAGTGTATTAACAGCATTTGAATGGTCTATACATATGTGGGCACCTGCAGTTTATTGTGTAATTTTGTCTCCGACTTTACAAGAGTCGTTTAATAATAAACAGTAATTGTACTCCACGTCACTTGTGGTCTGTGTTTTTCCAGTTCAATTATTAAATGTCATTGAAAGAATTTACTTTTTATCGCATTTGGTATATTTTGGTATATATGTCGGGGTTTTTTTCTGGAATGAAGCCGATATTCCACTTAATGTATAAAAACACAGATTCTTTGAGGGGTTTTGTGCGGGAGAAAAAGCAACAAAGGGTCGGCTCATCTACAGTGAGCGGGGAGAGCATAATATTTGCGCGACGGATGGTATGGAGATGATAAGGGGTCGCCATCTTCTACCTTCTTAACTTAATCGGCTAAGGGTTATTTCACCGTTTCCGTAAATATTTCAGTTGTTTTCTTTAGCTACATGTATATTCAACATGTGTGAATAAAAAAGGACTTAAAGACAAAGACAATCTAAAGCTGTGGGTGGACTTTATAAAACAAAGGCGGTGGACTCACCATTAATAAATCATTTACAGGTCCAAGAGCAATAATATCAAAATCCACAGCAACTACTGTAGGTTCTCCTGAAAAAGTTCAATATACATCAATTAATCCTCCATTGTTCAATATTAATGTCGTATCAAACAAACAAAGTTTGGTTTTGACAGACGAGAATTCGATAATGTGTCAATAATTGTGTACTCTGGCTGTGCTGGAGGTATCGTGTTCATTCAAACAAAACATCATCAATATATATTATCAACATGTATTTCCTGAATCTACTTCCCAGGTATGCCATGGTATATGCATCTGGGTTTAATACTGGGATTTGGCACGTATTACCATGGCAACATGAAATGGACATCTACGATACAATGTAACAGAATCCAATTGTAAAGGGATTATACCTCTGTCATTAGCTGCCCACATAGAATTTATCTAAACAAAAATCAGTTTCAGATCAGATTCCCACTGATGGATACCAGCTACCAATATCATAGACCGGAAGTTTCAATTATATGAATAGAAATGGGTTTAACGTTTCGTCAGTATGAGTGGTAACTTTTTTTACGGCGAAGGGGGTGGGGTCAATTTTCTTGAACAGTGGTTTTTCAGTTTAGTCATCTTCGAATTGCAATTATTGTCACGTGATCTTTCTTTGTGCTCTACTATGCAGCAGTACCACTTTGGTCTCACCCGAACGATTGAACACACAGACCCTACTCCTGATAAGTGACGATCGGACGATAACGTACTATTCGATGATGTTAATACTCCTACTTTTTATAACAAGTCAACTTGTCAAGTGTATCTAACATTTATTGAGACTTGTGACTCTTAAAGGCTCAAAATGAGGGGCTTTAGCTGTTAATTATACAAAAATGAAATTTTATAGGCTTTAAAGGGCCAATCTCGATTATATTTTGAAGAATAAATCTACTTAATTTTGTGTGAAAGCCCTTAAAAAACTCAACCTTGGGGCCCAGTAACTAACTCAATATACATGATACGTATTCAAATAACTTAAACTCGTCCCAAGTTGTATTATACCCGACTTTTATTTTATAAAAATAACGTGTAGGTGAAGTTTACCGTTTGTTATCAAGTATAGAACATGCATCACGCACTGTTTTGGCCGCTAAGGGAAAAAATTGACCCGAAATCTTAAAACGGTTACGTTTCCGGATAAGCGGTTTTGCCTTTCACGTACAAACGATTCAATATTTTGAGCTGAATTTTCAGACACGGCAAATACACCATTCCTCTACGTTTTGGCACTTAAATTTCATACGTACACGGACTTTTATTTCTGAGGGATAGTCCCTTTAACGTCCTGTTTTTTGACACTAACCGGACACAAGCCATAATTATACGAGTGAAATATGAAGGAAATTAGTACACATTGCTTAACAATTTATAGACATACTGTTGGGACGATACCGTTACTACATAGAATAGGAATGGTGGGGGTGAATAACCATTGAACCATAGCTGGGTGTCTTAGGAATTATATCCCAGTTCTTGTTGAATTGCAGACCTGTAATTAGTTTATTATATTCGTCTGACATGGAAACATCCCTATAACAATTCAAGCGTCAGGGCGGGGGTGGGGAGGGGGGTATGATTGGTTGTTAAATGATATAATTAGGCTGTTGAAAATACTAAGCTTAACATTAATAAGTGCAAGTGAATTTTTTATATCGACCAGAATGAACCTTTTTAATCGTTGTTAGAAATTCTGAGCAAATAAATACGATTTGATGTTACCTGTTATGGCATATGGTCCAACTGTGGCATCGTAATTACTGGAATTAAAAATCCTATCCAAGACCTCTCTTTCATATATAGACATAACACTATAAAAAAAAGTGACTAGCCGTTTAAAATTTTAAGCTGCAATAAAATATAATTTGAAAATATCCCAGGCCCATTTCATGGTTATATAATAAAACGATGCTGGCTCTTAAGTTTCCTGAATTTTTCTAATCGGAAATGAAATGAAATGGGGTTTAACGTCCTACTTTTTTGCTCTGAACTGGGTTACTGAATACAGACAAACGCCATACAGTGTGCTATGGGGGAAATTTTGCCCGGACAGCGGCACTACGGCCTACTCTTATATCGAATTCCAACTGCCAAGGAATCTTTTACGTGCACGCCAATGTGTACACGAGACCTCGGGTTTTCGTCCCATTCGAACGACTAGACAGCTTTCCTTGTCAGCCCCTCCGTCCTGCATCACTGACAAGGGAGAACCACGCTGGATTTTCTAATCGAGGAATCAATGTAAATTATAGAATTTGCTCACTTAAAAGTCAACATTGCAGAGTAGAGTGTCAGGATATGGACACAATTTCTCAAATCCATTATCGAATATATTTATCTATACTGCCAGTAGATGGAAATAAACCAATCATATATCATCTTTATTCCACCTGAAATTAGAACGAGAATGTATAAGCCCTATAGCCTACATGCTTGCTATGTCACAGTTATGAATCAATAACATGAAATTAGGTTTAACATAGTACTGTTCACAACTTTGACCTACGCCCGGAAGTGTGTAACACGTGACATGACTGTATTTGTCACTTGCCCACCAACACCCCAACTGTTTGGACGAAATGTTTGTCCTCTCTAACAACGCGGTGTTAAACATGAAAGACATTATCCCTGTCTTGAGAAAGTTTAGGAAGGGAACAAAATCGGAATTTTCTTTTAAGGAAAATGAGGTCCTAAAATCCCTTTCAAAAGACGAGAAAATAAAACGTTTCGTTATCGAAGAGGTGTTTAAAATTCTGGGTTTTGATTTAAACACCGTTGAACAGAAGGAGGTGGTATTTCTCGCTTATGCTGCTATTTGGGTTAGCAATTCGAAGTTACAAGATAACCCCTCAACATATAAAAAGAGAAAATCTTGAGCTGTGAATGACGTCACTGCTCATCATGATGAGGTACATATATCTTTGCTATATTGGCCAAATTTGCAGAGATAGTAAGGTGTGAAAACTTTAAGTGTGGTCGGTTTAGTGATATAGAAAGACAGACTTGTGTCACAATTTGTATCTCAGTTGGTTTTTCAGCCTGAAATGAATGTTTGTTGTATAGGTTTATTTATTAATTCTGTTTTGAATTTAGGTTGGGTTTTTTTTTAATTAGAGAGGAAAGGAGAAAAAAAAACACTATTCGGAAAGCAATTGTTTAAAGTGCATAGTTACATTTATCGGGATGAAGACTTGATATTGATGCATTATCGGCCTAATCTGGGGTATTTTATCCATTTTTACATTTACAGGGAAATTTTGTATTTCAAATTTCACTTTAATTTAAGAATGTCCAGTCCCCCCCCCCCCCGAAAAAAAAAACAAAAAAAAATCAAAAATAGACAACATAACCATTCGATGTCTTTGCTCTGGTAATATTCATTCGAGTCGAAAGGTCACATTTATTTCTATTCATCATTGCGATAAATTTTCTTGAGGTGGGGGGGGGGGGGGGTTTCATTCAATTTACATTTAGAATGGGTTGCATGTTTTTACCAGCTTTGGACCGATTCCTGGTTGTATGGTTTTATAAGCCTGAATTTGATATTTAATGTGTATGGTTTTATCAGCCTGGATTGGATATTTAATTTGTATGGTTTTATCAGCCTGAAATGGATATTTAATTTGTATGGTTTTATCAGCCTGAAATTGATATCTAGTTTTTGAGTTTTATATTGATATCTAGTTGTATGGTTTTGTGAACTTAAGATTGATACTAAGTTGTTTGGTTTTATCAGCCCGAGATAGATACATTAGTCGTACTGTTTAGTCAGCCCGAGATTGATACCTAGTCATGCAGGGTGTCGGCCTGAGAATGATACCTAGTTATAGTCAGCCCAAGACTGATGTCTGGTTTTATCAGCCGGATTTAATGTCTCTTTGAAGGTGATTTGCCAAGTGCTACTAATTGTACAGTTGTCATCATCGAATACGCGTTAATGCTGATATATAATAAAATGTTGTGAATCTAATCGGGTTTCGCATTATGCACGTTTCTATATCAATTTGAGAGCTGCTTGACACATATTACTCTAAGGAGGCATTCCTTTTGACTCTTAAGGGGTGAAATGCAAAAGGTCGTCCCAAAAAATTGGTTCTGATATTTCTACCAATTTTCATTTTATTTATTTAAAATTTGGATTATATATGAATAGTTTTCATTTTTTTCCCCTTCAGGTATCCACTGTGGATGCAAAATCTATCAGTGATAGGATTAAGGAGTTAGATAGTTTCGTGTTAAATACGAAGTATTCGAAACATTTTTTGACTTCACTTAATCCTCCGAGATCTTTAGATGATGCTGGCAAAATAATTTCGTTTTCTTTAGCAGTACCAGGAGCGAGATTTTTTGCTTCGGAAAGTTTTAACGCGATTTCAATGTTGTTGACGTCGAAAGAAGATGTATGTCTTTTATCGTTAGAATTGAGGAAGGAAATTGCATTTTGGGGTTTTCTACCTGACTGGCAGGGTTCTAAACAATGGGTTAAGGAGGAGCACCTAGTTTTATGTTTGTCTACTGATGCTTCAAATTTCAAATGGGGTGCTGAGTTTATTTTCAACAGTCAGAAACAGTATTTCGGGGACAACTGGCGGTCATCTGAAATTGATTATCCAATCATGATAAAAGAGGTTTTAGCTCTTTTAAGGGCTTTAACTTGTGTTAGGCATGATGTTAAAGATTACCGCCTAGATGTTAATATTGATTGATACAAGTGCTATACCATTAAATCAATGTAGCTTGGTAATTGTAGCCAAAGTCACAGTTCTGAAATAATGATATGAAATGGAGTTTAACGTCCTACTGACTGCTGTCCTGTACCGAGCAGGGCTAATGAAGACGGGCATACACCATACAGTGAGCTATAAAGGAAATTTTGCAGAAACGCGGGACATCAAACTCCATTTCAATTTATTTCATCGTTTCTGACGTTAGAACATAATGGTAGTCATGCTTTGTGGTCATGCTTTGTAGTCATGCGTTGTAGTCATTCTTTGATTCTTTAATGGCTTGTCATCAATAGCTAACCACTTTGATTTAGGTCGAAATAGAGTAATGAACCGTATCAATATCCATGTTTTGTTTTGGTCTGTGATGATACAAGTGCTATACCATTAAATCATTTGTTTAGAAAATCAATGTAGCAATATTATAGCCCGGCATAATATTGGTTTCAAACTCATATACAAGGTTTTTTTTTAGATGGGACATCACGTAAATGATACGGACATGAAATGGAATCTAAGGGGTTTAACGACCTACTGTACTGTTCTACTCCAACAGGGCTAATGAAGACAGAATACGCCATACGGTCTGCTTTGAGGGAAATTTTTCCCGGAAAGCGGCGCTAAGGCCTACTCTTATATCGAATTCTACCTGCCAAGGGATCTTTTACGTGTACGGCAATGAGTACAAGGACCTTGGTTTTTCGTCCCATCCGAACGACTAGACAACTGCCCTAGTCAGACTCTCTGTTCTGCACCACTGACAAGGGGAAACCACCCAGGAAAATACCGATGAACTTTATGGGCCAACACCGGGAGCGAACCCGCGACCTCCAAGTTAGCGAGCCAGCATATCATTTCACCAAGCGAAACACAACATACTTTTTTAAGGTTTATTTCGAGGAACTTTCATTCTCGGCCAACACCGTTGTGGGGATTATTTGTTGGATAAACAGTTGAATAGCTTCCACTTGGGCGAATGTAGTGACCAATTCAGTGACTTTTTTGTAAACTTCGTTTACTGTACCGTATTAGCCGGGACAAGTCCCCGTGAATATCCGGCGTTTTTGTCCTTTGTCAATGGTACAAGATGGAGGGTCTTGCAAATGAGCGGCGGCCAGTCCTTCGGAAGAGACGTAATAACGAAGGCCCGAGTGCTCATTGGCGCACACGTAAAAGAACACTTGAAATAAGAGTTGACTGTAGAGGCACTGTCTGGGCAAAATATTCCTCAATGCACACTGCATGGCGCACGGCCGTCTTCATTAGCCCGTGTGTAGAAGAAAAGTGCGACGTTAAATTTTATTATATTTCATGTCTGTTTTGCTCCATTAAATATTCGCTTATCTGTCCGCTATTTTTATGCTAGAAATAGCAGAAAACTCAGAGATTAAATTATCTGGAAATGTAATTTTGATCGGAAACTGTGAACAATAAATAAATAAAATATCAGGCACTTTTAAAGAAAGAATATTGATACGTATTTCTAGATTATTTATGCTTTTTGATTTTATAAATTCGTTTATCTTTTTTGAAGGTTTATCGCCAGGAACTTTATTCGAGGGCTAACTGAGTAGCTTTTTTATTGTATAACCATCTTGAACAGCCTGTGTGGACCAGAAAAGTGTTCCGTTAATCCCATTTTATTTTGTACAGAGTATAAAGGTTTTTAGCTTAATATCTTGCGGAAAATTTTCATCAAAGAGGGATTACCATCCCAGAATAAAATCCGACAAATCAAGATCTAGTTATTTTGAACATATTATATAGATGTGGGAAATCTGTGTATCAGTTGATATATATTATTATAATCCAAGGGTTTTCCATCCTCGGTATCCCCATTGTTCTCATTCTTCCGTTCTACTTCACTAGATTAACCCAGGGGTTAGTGGAGTAGAACGGAAGGATGAAATCATTGGTTATACCGAGGATGAGGTATAAGAATATTTGGGACGTTAGAACTTAAAGTGTAGTGTATTCATTTTAAAAGAATATTTAAGTAAAAAATTCGAAAGTGAGAAAAAAATAGTACATGTTAATATCTATGGAAATGAAATGGGGTTTAACATCCTACTGTTATGCTCCATTTAACTGCGCTAATGCAGAGTGTGAATTCTCAAACTTAGGGAAATACCAATAAATTGCCTTCCGTGGACATGATTTATTGCACTGCCCTTAAATTCATTATAGTACAGGACGACCGCACTATAAGTAAGTAAATCTGATAAGACAAACCTGCGGACAAGACACAAACTATATATAATACGACAGACATTTTAAGAAATAAACACAGAATATCAAATCAAGTCCACTGCGCAGTACGGTCCCAGGGCTGTAATGAAATGAAATGGGGTTTAACGTCCTACTGTTTTGCTCCGAACTGGACTAATGAAGACGGGCATACGCGATACGGTGTGCTATGAGGGAAATTTTGCCCAGACAGCGGCACTACGGCCTACTCTTATATCGAATTCCAATTGTCAAGGGATCTTTTACGTGCACGCCAATGTGTACACGGGACCCCGTTTTTCGTCCCATCCGAACGACTTGTCAGCCATCCGAACGACTTGTCAGCCCCCCGTCCTGCATCACTGACAAGGGAGAACCACGCCGGAAAATCTGGATGTACATTCTCGGCCAATGCAAGGATCGAACACCCGACCTCCAGACTAGCGAGCCAGCGTCTTAAGCCACTTAGCCACCGTGATCCCGCTTCACTT